TATCTGATCGATAATCTCTTTTAGTCACTGCGGAATGATTGCTTGTTCCAGCTATTTAAAGTGAATGCCGAGGGACTGGCAACACGGTACTTGTGCAGAAAATCCAAATTCAACTGTCCTCTCTGGATGCAGGTCATTCATCTTTCAGTGACCGGACTCTCGCTCCCCATACCCTGCTTGGCACGCTTCTCTCCCCTTCACACCTCAGTGGATTCCATTTGTCTACCCTCTTTCTACATAAAAGGCTTTCCCCAGCCTCTTTTTACACAGTTTTGTGAAAGGCAGGCTGTAACACTGTCAACTGTATCAGACACAGGGGCCCACGTGCTGAGCCTGGACAATCCACGCCTATCATTCAGGAAGGAAATGGGGATTTCAAAACAAAGATGGGGAGGCAAACACAGCACAGGTGACACAAGGTGGAAAGGTAGATGCTGGTAGGTGAGAGGAAGGGAGGATTTTCCAAAACTATGGTATGGAAAATGGCAAAAGGAAGCGTGCTACATTGTATGCTAATCGAAAAGTTACATTAACAGGAAGAAAACCCAAACCAAATCAAAGGAACAAAAATCAGAAGAAACTATCTAACCAGAGAGAAATAGAGTCTAATTTCAACTCATTCTTAGTAGCTTTTTTTCTACATTTTGTCAGGCTTTTGGAACTGAACTGAACTTAGTATGCATTGGATATAGATTATTCTACAAACACTTAGCTCTGTGGTGACAGCAATCTAAGGTCATTACGATACAAAATTCCTCCAAAGAAATCATGGGGATACCTCAAACTTTGACCACAGTAATGACAGGCCTGCTCGCTTGGGACTCTAATTTCTACCACCATCCCTCAGTCCACAGTTTCTTTTTAATTTTTTTTTTTACTAGCCATTGATTGATGGATGGACTGATCGGTTGATTGATTTGTGTTTCCAATGGCGCACATGTGGCGGCCAACCCGAAGGAGTCAGTTCTCTCTTTTCACCATATGGATTCTAGGGACTGAATTTCAGTCCTGAAGCGTGGCAAGTGCTTTAACCTCTGAGCATCTCTGGCTGGCCCTGGCTTTCAGCTTCTTGAGTTTAGCAGGTTAGATTACTTAATCATATTTATTGGGTTATCTAACTGAAAGGCCGGACACTTCTATTCCCTGTGGTACCCAGTCAAGGACAGAGCTACACAAACCTAGTTTCAAATTATGTCAATTTGTTCTTAGATTTTTCTCTACCCTGAAGACAGAGGGAAGGACCAAACTTGAATCCTGGGCCTCAGGCAAGTTTCTGAACTGCTGTACACTTGTTTCCTCATCTGACTCTTGTTTATCACCCAAGGAACATGTGACACTGAAATTCACATCTCTTTTCTGTGTCTGCATGTGTGTGCGTGCGTGTGCGTGCGTGTGTGTGTGTGTGTATGCATGTGTGACTGTATATCTTTGTGCATGTGTATGCCTGTCCTTGTACATTTGAGGGGGGGTATACTTGTGTGTTTCTAAGTCTCTGTGTGCCTGTATGTGTATGCCTGTGTGACTGTATGTCTCTGGATGTCTGTGTGGGTATGAGTATATGCATGTGTGCATACATGTTTATGTATCTGTGTGTGGTGTCTTCAGGTATGCCTGTGGGATCTCAGACCCCTGCACATGTATGAGGCACACAGGACATCAGTTCTCCTCCTCTAACACTCTCTGTCTTGTTTTTTTTAACATTTTATTTATTATTTTTATTTTATGTGTATGAGTGTATTGCCTGCATGTAGGTAAATGCACCTGTGTCGTGCAATACCCGTGGAGGACAGAAGAAGCCATTGGATCTCCTGGGACTGGAGTTATGGACAGTTGTTAGCTGCCATGTGGGAGCTGGCATTCGAACCTGGCTGGGTCTTCTGTAAGAACAACCAGTGTTCTTAACCGCTGAGCCATCTCTCCAGCCCCTCTGCCTTGTTTCCTGAGACAACATCTCTTGCTAAACTGGAAGCTCACTGGCTGGGCCAGGCTGGCTGGCAGAGAGCGCCTTGGTTCTACCTGTCTACACCCCACACTGTGGAGTTACTCCCACACATCACAGCTAGCTCTGGGTGCCAGGGATTTGAGCTCAGGTCCCAGTGCTTTCACAGCAAGTGCTCTCCCCGCCTCTCAGAGACATCTCCCCAGCCCTGAAATTCACATTTCAGCCTTGAATGACACTTTAATTCTCTCCTTCAATATATCTCAAAGACCACACATAAGTCTGGAACTTGGAAGAAAATATGTGCCCGTGTTCTGACTAGATTTCAGACAGTTCTGCTTCCAGACTGGCTGCCTTTCCTGAAAGCCTCTGGTCTTCTCTCTGCCAACTTCAGGAATACTCCTGTCTTTGGCATTTCATCTCACTATTGCCTATGCACACGGGGATTTCTTTCCACTTTCTGTGCTTCTCCTCAAATATTTTATGCCCTCTGTCCTCAAGCACACACACGCTCACATGCACACACACACACACACACACACACACACACACACAGAATATAGATTATCTATTTTACATTAGACTTGCGAGTTCCATCTTGTATGTCTTAAACCTTCAGTTTCCTGTGTTGCATTCGGCGTACATTAATCACCTCCTGTTCTGTCCAGATGGCTCCCTATCTCTATAGCATTCAGTTCTGCCAATTCTGCCCTTTAACCTCTTTCTTTGATCATGTTCCAAGTTACATCAGTGGCTCTACAATCACACCTTTCTTTTTGTGCTTGATCACACTTCTTGAAATATGTAAATATTTACAAAAAAGGACATACTGAAACACTTTATCATTAGAATATCTCAACTCTTTCAGCGATCTAGAAAGATACTTTGTTTCTTCACTTACCTCCAACTCAGGGTTTTTCCTTGTATGTGTAGAGGCCATGGGTTTAAGTGCTGATAGGGAACTTTATCTGGTATAATCCCATGGCTATTAAGTAGGGATGCTTTCCTTTAACCATTATCTGTATGGATGTTTGCAGGGAGACTAGAGACCCAGTAAAGACCTAGGGGAATTTCAACACCCCTTTGAGGACATTCTAGTAAGCGTGGAATACTCAATTCAGTCACCTCCTTGGCATCTCAGATGAACCTCTTTATTACCAAGCCAGTCAGCGTTTGCCTCATGGCTTCTCAGCTAAGTACCACCACATATTATCCTGCACTGCCTGGTCCTAGAGAAAGCTCAATTCTGTTCCCCAGGTCATTAATGGTGCTGCCATTATAAACCTTAATGAACATCTCCAAAGATCAAAGTATCATAATGGTTTGTTGGAGAAGCAGATTACCTTTAATGGTTTCTTTAAGTAACAAAATTCTAATGAACTTGAACTTTGGGGGAAAGGTGTTTCCAGCACTGAAAGTAGAGATTTAAGCAAAGTAGGTGACTGTTTTGAGCATAGTAAGCGAGAGTGCAAAGGGGATAAACAAAGGAAGAGTTGCTAAGTAACAACTGGAATCCTCCCTTAAATCTTGCATCTCAAAGTATTTCATGAGAGGGAGGGAGGGATGAGGGGGGTGGAGAAAGAGAGGGAGGCAAGTGGGGAGGGAGCCCTACCAACGTCAAGGCAATACCCCCACTTTTGAGGGATCAGGCTCCCCAAAGAAGCGAGTCTGAGAAGGTGAGCTTCCCTTTGGAGCACTATTTACTGTCTGTTAGCACAGGGCAGGAGGTTGAGCATTAAGCCAAGGGGCAGCTACCAGGGAGGAAGCCAGCAGAGCTTTTAGCAAAGTCATCAGGATGATGACATGGAACTTGGAGTTCTGGGTTGCCATGGCAGTCAAGTCTGCCTGTCCAGTATCTCAGTGAGACGGGAAGAAGGTTGTTTTTGAGCCAAAATTCTAGTGAATTCTTAAGCTTCTAAAGGCAGAAGATTCAGAAATGAAGCAGAAAGTAAATGAAAACCTCAAAGTTCTCTACAGCATAGAGAAACAAAAATGCACTGTTGATTCTTCTAAGAAGGAAGCCATCAGAACACCTCAACCCTCACCTGGGATTCTAGGAGGAAAAGAGTCAGAAAAAGAATAGAAAGCTAAACAAAACAACATATCCTAGGACTTTATATATATTTGTGTGTAGAAGGAGGGGGTGGTTGTTACTGTTGGCTGTTTTAAACAGGAAAGAAATTACAATGCAGTCCATTCAGGCTGGCCTTGAAATCTTTTAAAGGTCAATTCCCTTCATCTCTTTAAATTTTTATTTATTTACATGCATGAGTGTGTGTATGTGTGTATGTGTCTGTCTATCTGTCTGTCTGTTTCTGTGTGTCTGTGTGTGTATGTGCAGGTGTGTGAGGATGCCTGAAGAGGCCAGAAGAGGGTGCTGGACCTCCTGGAGCTGGAGTTACAGGTAGTTGTGAGCTGCCTGATATGGGTGCTGGCAACGAAACTCCTGTCCTCTGCAAGAGCAGCAAGCACTCTTAGCCACTGAGCAGTCCCCAAGGCCTTGAACTCTTGATCCTCCTGCATCAGACTTGAATGCTAGGATCACAGCTGTGTGCCACACCATACTCAGTCATGGATCCCAGCTCAGGCACGGATCAAGTGAAATAATGTTACCCATTCCTTTCGCTCTCCCACCAAAAGCTCTACTTTTCTCCATTCTGAATGGTTGTTCCTTACCACAGGTCACACACAGGAAGTGAAATATTGCTTCAAAGTCATGTAAATATGATATACTTGTAAGGTAACTTTGGTAATAGATACTAAACATAAAATAAAAATCCATAGCATGAAATTCCCAGGGATTACCGTCAACAGAGAATGATTTCCTAGTTAACAAAGTTCAAGGTAGGAAATCATGTATAACAGCCCAGAGGAATCTCACTCATTGGTACATAATATAGAAACGGAGGTAAATTATCTTATTGAAGCCTTTTCTATTTTAGAAGAGTTTAATCAAAGAGATTTGAGGGTGGACAGTCTCAGGATCTCAGGGTCTTTGTTGTGAAAGGCTTGGTTCCATCATGACTGACCACTCAGAGTACCCGCCCCAGAGGTTACTTACCTGGGCGGTTTGGCTTTTTAGCCTTTACATGGTTGGCTGCGGAAACAGCGTAGGACGAAGTGAAGGATCTGCTCTTGGTGAGTGTCATCAATACTGGGGTATTCCAAGAATCAGGATTAACAGCACTGCAAAGACAGTAGTTAAGGAAAAATGAAGAAATTACTCAGCAATGATTGGGCAGATCTTGCCAGAACCAGCTATCATTTCCACAGCAGACTTGCCAATCTGAGGGTTTGTTTCTGGTCACCACAGCAGCACTTAACTTGCAAATGAAAAAATAAGCTAAATCCAGCCTCTACTATCGTGATATATATCAGTCACTCATCAAACATACTGGGTAAAAAGAGAAAAGATGGCTTTCCATTCACTCCAATTCAGAAAAATAAAACACACTTTGTTCTGTGTCGATAATCACATTCCTTACAGACTTTCTAAAACAATCTTACAGAATGATTGGCTGAGATGGAAGATTCTTCATATGAGAAATAAATGACACAGTGCTTACTCCTGTGTTCTTTACTGCACATTATTCTTGCTGAATGTATACTTAAAAGTTAACATTTTACAAAGCCACTTGAAGATAATGTTTCATTGCGGCATCTGCTTACAAAGGGAAACATTAGTAGCAGACCTGTCCTGTAATTTCCCTCCACTGGTAATGCAGTGTTTGTGTACAGAGGAGACCTACAGCAGTATCCTGTAATTTCTCTCTACTGGTGATGCCCTGGAAAGAAATACTTCAGTGATGGACTTAGTGTTAAACATACTGATCATGTTGATCAGGAGAAAGGTAACAGACTGTCTATACCCCAGCAATGCATTTACCAGAATATTCCTGGTTCATTAGGTCGCTCCCTGGAAATAAATCTGGAAATAATTGATCTATAGAGGATTGGTTAGAGGACATTACAGAAGATACATTAATGGGATACCAATTCTGGGAGTCTTTCAAGCACAAGTTTGTTGCACATACTGATTAAAACCTTACAAACTGAACTGGAAACATTATCCATCCTAATTTGGGAGAGAACAGAATTCAGGAGGCTGTGTTGACAACCTCGGACTGCTCCAAGTGAAAAGCGCTTGGCCTGTGTTTTTCTAGCACCTGTGTCCTTTCAAGCACCAGTGAATTTGGTACAGGGTAAAATCTATAATTTGCATGAATATAACTTGACAATTTGATAATTTTTACAATGTTAGGTTGGCACTGGAAGCAGGACATGACTGATCTATCTGGGTGGCATATTGTAAATAATCCTGAAATTGAAGGAATTATGGGGTCATGGATATATAGAGCTTGTCATATAAGCTATGTAATTAATGGGTATAATTTGGAGAGGGTCCATAACCAAAATGGGTCTCTCTGTGCAAGCAATGATAGCCATGCTTTGCTCAGCTGCTGCGTGTCAAATCCAAACCAAAGGATGGGCTGCCGTGGAAGAAAGGGGTACTTAGAGAACTGCATCAGTGGTCTCAGATCTATACAAGGGAAACATGCTGAGCATGCGCCCTCCCCTGCCTGCTTCCTCTGATCACCAGTAAATTGGGCAATGAACAGAATCTATAATTTGAGGATGATTTGATACTATGTTGTTTTGACACTTGTATGTTTATTTCATTCCTCTCTTTTTTCCCTCCTTCCCTCCCTCTCTCCCTCCCTCCCTCCCTCCCTGTCCTTTGGTACTTTTGGATATTTTTTCCAACTATTATATTTGAAAACTTCCCCTTTTCTGTTACTTCTAATAGCAACTTGTCACATACCTTATGAAAGACCTTTGAAAGGGGAACTTAGCAATTGTCAAAAACCATTGATGCTTATGAAATGTTTCAATGCCTTCTTAGAAATTTCATCTTTAACATTTTGCAAATGCTTGGATTTTTGTGAATGAGATCAAAGAAAACTTTGAGACTCGGACTACCAACTACTTCCTTCTGGTAACAGTCTTTTCACTCATTTTCCTCGCCTGAGTAACTGGTAATATTTACTATGAAGAAAACATGTAATGTGTGTATAGCACACTGTTTTCATTTCTTAGAATATCATATAATGAATAAATTATCACTCTTCTTTGTAGACTTTTTAAATACTTTAACATTATTTTAATATTCCAAAAACATACCTGATAGAGGTTAACTCAAAAAATATCCACTACTGTTTTATTATTACTCCCAATAAAAACATTTAAAATATGCACATTTTGGAAACTTTAACAGGAAGTTTAGAGTACCCTTAATGTATTGGTATGTAATAAATTCAAGATAAATAAAATCTAACCCCTACCTACCCTATTTTCATCCAGTATATTTTAATTTACAATATTATACTATTAATAAAATAATAAATCGATGCATGTTACTTAAGTGCATTTTTGTGTCAGGCACTTTCACATACAACTTTCTGTGAAGCTCAAGGAAGTTCTCAGCTTTTCACTAACCCTTACTTCCTAATTCCTGCTTTGATCTCATGAATAGGTAATAATTTGGATTCTGGAAAGGAAAAGAGCTTAGAGAGAACTTTAAGTGGATCACTCGTTGTGATGCAATAGCGGAAGGGTTTCTGCTCAAGAGGAGGAAGGTCTTAACCTCATGCTCTGAAGGAGCTTTTATACCTGCATTTCTTCCTGCAATCAATCCACCCTAAAGTCTAAACAACCTACTTGGCAATAATGTCTTTTATGAAGTTTACAACTTCCTTTATGTGTGATTCACAAAGTCAAGGGTCAGTTAAAAGATCAACCTAGAATGACTCCCAGGACAATGTATGTCAGCAATTTCTGTTTCTCTAAAGTCTTTTTAAAAAAACTATATGTGTATGAGTGTATTGCCTGCGTGTAAGTGCACCTGTGTCATGCAGTGCCTGTGGAGATCAGAAGGGAGCATTGGATTCCCCTGTAACTGGAGTTACCTATGGTTGTTAGCCACCATGTGGGTGCTGAGAATCAAACCTGGGTCCTCTGTGAGAGCAGCCAGTGCTCTTAACCACTGAGCCATCAATCCAGCCCCTCTAAAGTCTATTTTTAAAAGCATCTATTAGTATTCTTCCATTAAATTTACTCCTCTGATTATACCATAGCTCTCTAAACCAACCCTTGTAGGATGGAGGCTCAGAAAAGCTCATGATCTCTTGGAATGCAGGTTTGAGTGATTCAGTTCCCCTGATTCTCCATCTTGTGTCTGCTTAGCAGACATTATTTTAAGTTTCCCAGAAGGAAATTATCAACCTGCACACAATAAGGAACAGGTTTTAAGGTTCACTTCTCTGGCTTTGGATCATTAAGTCCCTGAGGAAACATAATGGAAGGACCGAGAAAGAAAAGAAGAAACAAGAACAGTGTAGAGGAAGAAGCTAAAACTCCTAGTGTTAAAATCGTCAACCGTTGTGGCAATAGCTCTACATGACGGTTTGAACTTTGGTTTATAATCAAGGGCGAGAGCCATCCAGGTTTATTGGTGTACAGCAGCTACTTTGTTATATGTGGTTTTCCCTTCAAGAGCCAAGTTCTCTTCAGAATGAATTTCATGAGTTCAAAATGTTGTACAACTTTTAGATTTTATTCTATGACTTTTTCCAGGATGTTGAAATTCAGGGGTAGCTACAGAAAGAGAAAAATATCTGTGAGCTCACCATCTGTAGAGTTGTTAGAGTCTGAGGAATGGAATGAGTGGGACACCCATGCCTTATCTTTGTTGAACGTATCTGAGTTTCAGTATTTATTTATAAAGCAGCTCAGCCAGATCTTTTGAAGCTAAGCTCGTAAACATTTCTTGGAACCCTCTTCTTTGTGATGATTTCAGTTTTAGCGCCTAATTTCACTTAACATAATGGAAGACTGGACTAGAAGTAGCAACACTGAACTTGAAGGAGGGACTTGAGCAGGCACAATTCCTTTTTTTTTTTTTTTTTTTTTTCACGGAGTCATTTTCTGCACACAAAATCATGGAGCATTGGCTAAACTGTGCTAGAAAACTTGGCAATCTGCATTGGCAGTATGGTTTGTGTGCAAAATGTCTCCTACAGATGTCCCCAGATGATGGCTCTGTTGTGTGCAAAATGTCCCCAGATGATGGCTCTGTTTTAGGAGGCTGTGGGGCCTTTGGGAGGTGCAGCCTGACAGGAGGAAGTAGCTCACTGGGAGCCTGGCCTTCAGGTTCATGGTCTGATGGAGTTCCTCTCCTGCCTCTACTTCCTCTGCTTTCTGGGAGGACAAGGTATGAGCAAGGGCCCTCACACTCCTGGAGCCACTTGGGGGAGGTTAGATTATTGGGGCTGTTCCTTTGAATAAGGCAGATTAGTTATACTGGTATATGAAGTGGCATTGCCACTGCAATGCCTTCCCAGCCTTGACTGGGTGTACCTCAAACCAAGAGACAAAATGCGTCCCCCTGCATGCACGTAAGTGCGCCTGTGTTGTGCAATGCCTGTGGAGGTCAGAAGAGGACATCGAATGACACCCACATGACAGTTAACTGTAGGTAACTCCAGTTCCAGGGGATTCGATGCATGCAGGCAATACACTCATACACATGAAATAAAATATAAATACATTTAAAAATTAAAAAAGAAACCTGTCTCATAATATGGAGAGAATAGAATTACTATTTAGTTTTTTAAAAATATTTTATTTTTATTTTATGTGTATGAGTATATTGCCTGCATGTATATAAATGTACCTGTGTTGGGCAATGCCCATGGAGGTCAGAAGAGGGCATCAGATTCCCCTGGAAATGGAGTTATGGATGCTTGCTAGTCACCATGCTGGGAATGAACCCAGGTCTTCTGCAAGAGCAGCCAGTGCTCTTAAATGCTGAGCCATCTCTCCAGACCCATAACTAATATTTTAAAATTAATATTTATATTATGAACTGTCATTTTTCAGTATTTGTTACTGTAGTAGAAAATGACAATTGTCTACATTTTCAGAGAAAAATATTACTGGTTATGTCTCATCTCAACCTTCACAAAATGTTCATGAGGGGCTGGAGAGATGACTCAGCAGTTAAGAGCACTGACTGCTCTTACAGAGGACCAGGGTTCGATTCCCAGCACCCACATGGCAGCTACGAACTGTCCTTAACTCTAGTTCCAGGGGAATCTGAAGCTGTCTTCTGACCTCCACAGCATTGCACGATATGGGTGCATTCACATACATGCAGGCAATACACTCATATACATAAAATAAAAATAATTAAAAAAAAGAAAGAAAATGTTCATGAAACTGTGTACCTCCACCTGTGATATCATTTGCAAGTTTTGCAAAAGTCCAGGTAATAAGGAGGATGGGAATTATAGGGGTATATGAAGAAGCATTTCCACTTGATCCTTACATAGAATACAACATTAATACAGAAGAGACTGACAAACACTTTAAATCAAGAAAGCAAGGTAGGGGGCTGCCATGAACAAACCTTCCTTTTAGTTCAATATCTTAGGGATGCTGCCCACTGTGGTTGCTTCTGCTCTCTGAGCTTCCTTCCCCACACCACCCAAGGACAGTAAAAGGAAGAGATGCTAGAAAGTCAGTCAAGAAAGGCAAAGACCCCAGAGACAAGTCTAGGAATAAAGCCAATATGTGTTTCAAAAGACAAAGCTCCCGTACGACCAGTTCTATAACAAAGTTCCTAACTGTAAGCTGACTACCCCGCTGAGGTCTGAGAGACTGACGATTCTCAGTTTGCTGGCCAGGGAAGCCCTTCAGGAGTGCCTTAGTTTTTAAAAGACTTCGCAAATGGGTTTCTAAGGTCAGAGCTCATGTGATTATACAGCGGACATACTAAGGGTGAAGATGTGCCAATTGATGGTGAAGATTAAAAAAAAGGATCAATTAACTGTACGAAATAAAAGAAAAGTCAGTTTAAAAATATTTGAATATACTCATGTTCTTGGGATATCTACTTTTGATCTACAATTCTACATGCTAGGACAGCTGGTCTGGCAGGCCATGGGATCTAATGATCATTTGCAAATGTCATTCTAGATGTCTTTGAAGTTTGCACTATGGCCCTCAATGGAGGCAAACCGTAGCTTGCCTTTACTCTGACCTCAGCTTTTTCCCTCCAGATCACAGGAGCAGGGAGGATCTCAGCTCACTCTTGACACTCACATTTCAGGTCACACCCACACTGGGAATCAATGCCAGCAGAGTTCTGCATTGAAGCACCCAGGGCATTTTCCAAGCCAGTGTCTCAAGAACTCTGGTTTGGCCTTGCTTCTCCTACACTCTATAAATCCTTCTCAGTAAGTAGCTTCTCTTGAGCGACATGAGAAGTGGAGTCTAACCTGGGTGATGATGCTTCATGCAGTTTCATGCTGGCACTGCGGTCCCTCCGTACTGGTGCAGGCTCCAGGGTGGGCAGGCCTGTGGCTGAGGTGGTGGTTGTCCAAGTCGAGGAAACTCGCCTCAACAGGCCTGGGGGCAAACTTCTTCTCAAGCGCTAGAAAGAAATGTGAACTTTATTACCAACCATATTATAGCTCTTAGCTTGTTAACCTTTATGCAATATAATGGAAGGGAAATGAGTTAAATGGACGTGAACTGATGAAGCTTATATTGGCTGGATATCATCGATTAAAAACCCGGGCATTTGGAAAGTCTGTGAATAGATCTCTGCCCCAAAGCTATGAATATTATAAAAAGAACATTTGGAGTCTTTGTTTCAGTGCTTATACAAATACGGGATTATGAAGAAAAAGAATCAATTACACCTGGGATAATTTCACAGTTCTATTAACTCAATAGAATTTATACACAACTATACACACACTGTATTCTTTATTAGAGCACAAGTTTTTTTTTGTTTTTCTGTTTTTTTTCACGAAAGCCTTTGCTTGGAGCATGGCTTCATTTCTATCATCTTGTACACAGTCTAGGGCCTCAAGTGTTCCTGGATTATTTTTACTGCCTCAATTTATAGATGACAGTAGTTAAGTGTGAGAATGTAACTGAGATGCTGTACAGTGTACACCTCTCATGATAAATGTGACTGATCAGAGACACAATGTCACCAATATCCACTGTGAACATAAGGGTCTACTGGCCCCTCTCTGCATCAGTTCTCCTCCAACCACAGCAGCCCCAAGGCTAACAATCCTCCATAACTCCAGTTCCAGGGGAATCTGATGTCCTCATCTGCCTTCCAAGGGCATTGCATGACATGGGTCTTTGGCAGACTGTCTTGATTGATGATTGATGTAGAAGGGCCTAGCCCACTGTGGGAAGCACCATCTCTAGTCAGGTGGGCCTGTCTGGAAAACTAGCTCAGCATGACCAGCAAGCCAGCCGTAAGCATCATTCTTCCATGGTTTCTACTTCAGGTTCCTGCTTAAGCTCCTGCCTCAGCTTCCCTGGACAATGGAGTGTGACTAAGAAGCCTGAGCCAAATCAACTCTCTCCTCTCCTAAGCTGCTTTTGGTCAGAATGTTTTTTGTTTTTTAACTTTTACAAAAACCTTATTGAGAATTTCATACACACATAAAAGGTGTTTTGATCAAATCCATGCCCACTCTCTCCCTTCCAACACCTCCCACATCTCCCTATCACTTTTTTCTTTTTTTTTCTTCTTTATTTATTTTTATGGGGACTTTGGATACTCTAACATTCCCCCCTCTGAAGAGGTAACCCTAAAATCTTTTAAGGATTAGATACAAGCTCCCAAATACTTTTGACATTTTTGGCCTTTGGAACAGAGTATGTTGCTAACAGTCCTAAGGACGTTTTGACTTTTAGCAAGAAACTGGCTACATTTCTTTGGGGTCTTTTTACCCTAACTGTCTAGCCAATTCCTACCTTCTATTCTTATTACACCATCCTCTGAAGGGGCTACCCAAATTGCCAATAGGGAACAGGGATGCAGAGTGCTCCAGCTTCTTCCATGCTCAACAGGGATGCAGGGTGAGGGAATTGGAGAACCCCTTCAGTGGGTCTATCTAAAAGACTCTCAAATTACATAACTCTTATCTCTAAGGGGAAAAGAAAGTCCTTGAATCCAGAATAGGAGATGTGAAGGAGAAGTAAAGGCAAGAGTAATAGCATGACAAGTTCTAGACAGGGAACTAGAAAAAAGTCAGAACAGGGCAATTTTCACATGTTCATGTGAGAGTCCATTGGAGTTTCTTGACAAGGGCTTCTAAAAGCATCCCTCTATTAGGTTCCTCCTCATTTTTCTTTTGTCTGCCAAGGCTGGACTCTAGAGTGATGGGTTCAGGATTTGCCTTCAGGTATTTTGATAGAGTTGGCTGGGAAAAGTGGCTGGATATTCAGGTGAGGGTCCAGTGACCCTGCTTGGCCCTCCTTTAATGAATGAGCACAACCGTCAACAAGCCCAATTGTGATGATGTTTAGTGATGAGGCTCAGCTGAAGTCATGATGATGGTAGTTATTTTGTGCAGAAGGGACTGCTGTATAGCATCATCTTATTAAATGCTTTTAATCACAGCGACCAAAGAGAAGCTAGAACAGATGGCAATGGAATTGAAACGAAAGTCACACTCCTATGGAGCAGAGATTCGTGGGTTTGAGGCTGTGTTTGTTGTTTAGTTTGGCTTTTGCTGCAATAGTCTTATCACCTAGAAAACAGCCTGGCACTCTGAGACAAAAACATCAGAGCTTAAATGAAAAAGCCAACATGAAAGCCAGGCATGGTGTGCTGTGCACTGGGGAGAGTCTCAGGCAGCCAGTCTGAGCAATGAACCCAGCTGCATAGCAAGTACCAGGAGAGTCAGGACTGCACAGGAATATCCTGTCTCAAACAACAACAAACAGGTGGTTTTGAAGTGACAGGAAGCAAAGTTGTGAAAAGATCATCCTTGTACATCTTTATAGATTTAGACCCTTTATACCTACCTTGGGAATGGCCAGCTTATCTTTCTCCAAGTTCTCCTCAGAATCTGAACAAGTATAGTTCTCACTGAAGCACATGGTGGGGTTCAGTCTGGGCTTGTGGATGGCCTGGAAGGTGAGCTGCGTGCTGAGAAGGTTGCTCACGGCCCTCAAGGATGTGCACACGTTTGGTGGCAGAGAAGGGTCTGCCAGGAGGTCAGTGATGAGGCCATGGGCCTCGCCCATCACAGCGATATCCACAGTGATGCTGGTTCCTGAAGACTGAGACAGCAAAGCAAGAGAAGGTGAGGACAGAAAGGGCCCAAGTGTGGAAGGAAGCACGGTGAATGGAGCCCAGCTCTTGACTGAAAACAAACGGAACTGTCGGTATGGTGGTTCATCTGTAAACCCAGCCCCCGGGTGGTTGAGGCAGGAAGATCATGAGTTCTAGAGTCAGCCTGTGAAGCAGTCATGATGCAGCGTACAAGGAACTCATGTAAATTTAAACTACGCACCATCATGATTAGAAAGGCAGGTTCTGGACCAGGCTATTTAGATAAATCCTCCACTTCTCCAGCTCCTTATGTCTATCAAATTATTAAAATGTCTAAGCTGTCATTTCATCCATCTGTGATACAGGTATAATAATAATCATGTCAGAGCTGGGTATGGGGGGTGTATGCCTATAACTCTAATACTTATGAGGTAGAGGTAGGAGGATCAGGAGTTCAAAGTCATCCGGAGTTATAGAGTGAGTTTAGGAATAGCCTGAGATATAGGAGACTCAGTCTCAAAAAACAAAACCAAACCAGGCAAAGAAAAAGAAAACTTAATGCTCAACTCAGAAGATAACTATAAAAATAAAAAGAGACAATGCGTGCAATATGATACTGTTCTAGCAGTTACAAGTTTTCAGTAATGGTTGTGCTATATCTAATATCTACAATATAGAAATTAATAATAGCATTTAAGTCAGGCACAGTGGCACATATCTTTAACCCCAGCACTTGGGACTCAGAGGCAGGCAGATCTCTGTGAGTTCGAGGCCAGCCTGGTCTACATAACGAGTTCCAGGCCAACTGGGGCTACAGGGAGACACTCTCAAAAAATAAATGAAAAGTAAATACATAAATACAATAAAATAAAAAACAAATAGTGCTTAAATTTTTCAGTAAGAGGCTACAGAGTTTTAATAATTCTTTTACAATGAACTTAAATTCCAATGAGATGAAAAATTAATGTATAAAGTACAAGATGGAAAGAAAGTATAAGGGAATATTTTATAATCTTGCACACAGAAACTTTTAAACTTATGAACTTGCAAGTTTTCAAGGAATCCTCTCACAGAACTGTTCACGTAAAGATAAGAACATCTATGTAAGAAAACGTACCATAAGCAAAGGAAGCAGTCTGTGGGAGAACACTTGCTACACAGAAGACAAAACACAGTAAATAAAGAGCTTCTAAAAACAAAAAACAATGAAAGAAAAAAATGGTATTAACGATTCAAATAAGGGGTAAATAACTGTGCGCATGTGTGTATGTGTGTGTATGTGTATACACGTGTGTGTATGCATATATGACTATTTGCACTCAGGCATGATGACAAATGACCATTATTCCATTCAGGAAGATAAGTAGTTCAAGCTCATCCTCAGCTACGCAGCTAGATTAAGGCTAGTTTGAATAATGAGATTCTCCATGTCTCACAACAAACAACAACAAAAATTAAGCACAACAAAACAAACTATTTCCTTCACTCAGAGGTAAATGCCAATTAATAGAGCAAAACCAACTATAACTATCAAACTGGTAAAATAACTCAAAAGGGAGAGTAGCAAGCTGTTCATAAACCTTTGTGAAAATTCAAGTGCCATGTTAACAGCTTTAGGGTAATTACGTATATATCATATACATTTATATTTCTTATCAAAAGAGTCATTAAACTGTCACTGAACTGGGCTAGTGCCCCCCTTTTGCAAGACATACTCTCAAGGTCATGTACCACGCTTTTGGGAGAAATCCCCCAGTGTGCTACTCTGCAGTGAAGACAATGACCCTGATGACCCTGAACGTTACCCCTCTCATCTACAGCCACTGGCTTGCCTCCATAAAAATTTGAAATTTAAGTCAAATGTTATTTTAAGGACAGAAAACTTTAAGACTTTTTGACAATGAGACTAACAAAATCTAGAGCATGCTCACTCAGAGTTAGGATTCGATTTTTAAAAAAAATTATTGGTGAGAAGTAAAACCTTTTCAAAATTCTCTAATGTTTGACTTTTTAAAAAAGCTTTTAAAGTTTCATTTATTTACTTATTTGCGTGCGTACGCATGCACCCACCCCATGGCATGTTTGTGAAGATCAGAAAACATTTTCCAGGATCAGTTTTGGTATTCAAGCATACAGCTTCCTGGCATCAAACTCAGGTTAGGTTATCAGGCTGGTGGCAAGAGCCTTTACCCACTGAGCCATCTCATCAACCCCTTATGTTTTTAAAATATATATTACTTATATTTTGTTAAAGTAATTCATAAGTTTCTTATATAGTCAGAGAAAAATACTAAACTTTTACAATCTAAGTTTAAGAACAGAAGTGAGAATTTATGCTTGATGGTCAAAGTTGTCACATAAAAATCTTTAAGATTAGATATTTGAGTGTTGGTATGGTATAGACTTTTAAGTTGGACCTAGTGGGGTATAAGAAAAAGAGGACATAAAGCTAGGAGGGGCAGGGGAACTAGGGGGAAGAGGTAGATGATAGACTTGTGAGGGGTTGGGGGTTTGGGGGTGCATATGATCCAAGTACACTGTACGCACATTTGAAAATCACAAAGAATACAAATATTATGCTTCGGAAAACCTGTTCTTATAATGCAATAGGTTTCATATATATTGTATAGTTTCATAGCAAAGTCCTTAAATGGAAGCAAAAGCCAGACATGCAATCTGGACTCCACTGACGGGTCAACATGTACACCTACATATGGAAAAAGAAACAGTAGCAATGCCCAATCCCTACTGCCTACTACCATGAAGTCATGTCCTTGCTTGACTGGGTTGATTCAAGAATAGAACTGTGCGACACTGAAAAGTTGCACCGTATGTAAGAAGTTATCTCTGTCTTTTCGGTTCAAAGAACTAAAGGCTTCTCTGAAGCCTGAAATTCAAAACTAACAATCAAATTTGTTTGCTCCAAACCTGCCAAGACTAACCACACATGAAATGCTGAAAGGCTGAAAGGTAGGCTGGCTGCGATGTCCAGAAATAGGAGATAACGTGCAAAGAAATCTGCATGTTCAGGGAGTGACTATTAAGGAATTTCAGGTAGCAAGAGATTCAGTTATTGAGATCGTGTTTTTAAAATATTTTATTTATTACTTTATGTGTATGAGTGTATTGCCTGAATGTAGGTAAGTGCGCCTGTGTCATGAAATTCCCGAGGAAGGCAGAAGAGAGTGTCAGATTCCCTGGAACTGGAGTTAGGACGATTGTTAGCTGCCATGTGGGTGCTAGGATTTGAACCTAGGTCTTCTGCAAGAGCAGCCCATGGTCTTACCTGCTAAGCCATTTCTCCAGCCCCTGAGATGGTATTTTTAAAATCACACAAGCAATACTAAATGGACTCAGTAGTCTACTTGTGTGTATATATATATGTGTGTGTCTATATGTATGTGTAACAATAACTAAAGAAGAAGTAATCAAATTGAGAGGGCGTCGGAGAAGAATGGGAGGGAGGTATAAAGGTGGATAAGAGGGAGGGGTGGAAATGATACAAATATAGTACTCATACATGAAATTCTCCAAAAATCAAATAATTTATCAAAAAAAAAACAAAATGGGAACAACTGGATGAATTTGTCTATTGAAATAAAAAATCTCTAGTTATACCAACAATAATCATATTTCATTCAGCTATTAAATACTTAGTAACAAACACTGAAAGTCAAGTTTATGCAAAAGTCACTTTAAAGGAAAATCTTACACTGACAACCTGAAATCATCCTTTGTGTGGTAATGAGTTACATTAGCCCCACAGCATAGTGGAGTCTTGTTAAGCTACGAATGCTCAAAGAAGTCCTTTCCTTTTTTTAAAAAAAAAGTCCCAAGCAACATAAAACATTCTACTTCACAGTCTCTCCTTATAATGGAAATATTTATATTCAACATTTCAGAAAATACAAGTGTAATTCCCGAGATGCTGTTTAAATGACAACCAAGTTTGGATCCCCACCTTTAAATAGAAAATCTGGAATTTATCTCTGATAAACAGTGGAGGAAAGCAGAGTTTTATATATCAAACCAAAAATACCAGATTTTGGTACATCCATTTCTTCTCAAGCACCTCTTTTAAAACACCACCCTCTCCCCGTGTCTTCATACGGTCTACTTTACCATCTCCCCGCCATGTGTTCACAGGGTCTATTCACTGTCTCCAGATATCCTACCTCAGGCTGGCCTTAGACTTTCAGAGATGTGAATGGCACTGTGATAGTATGAGCTAGACTATTTCTAGCTCACTGCTCGTCTTAAATCAGAGGTCCAGGGTAAGAGTCTTACTGTGATATGTCCCTCCATACGCTCATGTATTTGAAGGGTTGGTCCCTGGCTGATGCTGCTGTTTTGGGAGGCTGTGTCAGCTTTAGGAGCTGGGGCACAGCTGGAGGAAGTAGGTCTCTGGGGAGAGGTAGGTCTTGGGTGTTACAGCCCATTCCCATGCCTGGCCAGATTTCCTTTAGCCCTTCCCCTCCCTTCTTCCTCCTCCTCCCTTCTTCCCTCCCTCTCCCCTTCTCCCTTCCCCTCCCCCTCCATCTCCCCCCAACTGCCAACCCAATGTACTAGCTACTTCGAGGTCCTGCTTGCATGGATTCCCTGCCATGGTGAAATAAACCCTCACAAATGAGCCAAAATAAATCTTTCCTCTCAAGTTGCTTCTTCAAAGTATCTTATCACAGTGACAAGAAAAGTAGCATACCTGGAAAATAAAAAGACAGTTAAAGTCAACTTAAAGTTAACTTCCAGGTTAGACATGCACATATCAACTCAATTAGAGAAACTCCGCTTCCATCCCTGCTCCTGTGCCGCTGAGGCTTTACGCTGCTTAGACAAAGGAGGACTCTGAATGTGGGTGGGGTCAGAAAGAACTCATTCTCTGTAAAAAGCATCTCAGGATCTTCATTATTATGAGTTACAACAGACTGCAAAATAATTTATCTTTTAAGTAACATGTCAGAGTATTTGCTGAAGCACTGTGTTGGGTTTCCGTTAAACTTGGCAGATT